TGACCGGCAACGGATCGCAACCCTCAGTGTCGCGCCCGTACCGGCCTGGGACCGGCAACGGAATCGCAACCCTCGGTGTTGCTCCCCACACCTCGCTCAGCCAGTGAGCAGGAACCGGTCTGTATGTGGGATCCGAACCCTCGGTGGGAGCGACGCCGCGCTTCCCAAGCGGCACACTGTAGCAGTGTGCCACGGGGCCGGCCCCTGCATTTGTTTTCTATTCCAGAAGGATGATTGTTTTTCTTGGGCCAGGCAGGAAGGGATGTGGGTACCCTGGTGAGCCTGGGGGAATGCATTCTGGTCCTTTTCCTGCTTTCAGCTGCCCTGCAGTAAAGCTCTTGCTGTGTTATTTTAGTATGGAATTACTTTGCATTTTTTGACTAAGTTGGATCCTTCTATTTAGATGAAAGTGGCTTATTGACCACCCAGACTTATTGTTATTTTCCCAGGAGCCCTCATGTTTCTTAGTTGTCCCCATTTGGACATTTTTCTTAACTATTTTTTTCCTTTTTAGCCAGACCCTTAATGAAACAATCTTGATAGAGTGTATAAATGGTGCATACTCAAAACCAATTTCCTCATCCAGGGTTTCTGTTTCTTAGAACTTTAGAATTTTAGATCATTCCGATTGAATAACTTCCTTTTTTCAAATCATGAGGAATACAAAGCCCAAAGAGGTAGGTGTTTTTTTCTGGGTCACACATTCTTCTCTCTTTTATCTCTTGGGACCTTAGCGACTTCGGTTTTAATCAGACCCTATTTCCCCCAAAGATAGGCTGCTTAGCCAAACTTAGGGTGGCTTGATTAAGATTTGGTCTTGACAGAAGCTAACATGTTATTTTCTTTGTCTGTTTCTTTTAAAAGCAGAGGGTTGGTTTTTAGTCAACTTTTTCTCTCCTTCTGGTTTCAGGTCTGGGTGGTTTCAAATAGCACAGATGAGTCAGTAGGTCTTTGGAAGAGCTGTATCAACGGCAGCTGCAGTTACCCCCTGCCATATGACGTTGGTGGTATGTATAGAGATATTGATCCAGTGCGGATGGTTGGTGTGGTCAGGGGAACGTCCAGCCTCTCTGGGTTGCCTAATTCCCTTGCCGTCCTTGCCTTGTGTCCACAGATGCCCTCAGGTCGGTGCAGGCCTTCATGATCCTCTCCGTCATCTTCTCCGTCATCTCCCTCGTGGTCTTTGTGTTCCAGCTCTTCACCATGGAGAAAGGAAACCGCTTCTTCCTCTCGGGGGCCGTCACGCTGGTGTGCTGTAAGTATCTCAGGGGCAGACTGCAGCGGACGCAGGAGAAGCTTTTAAGTAGTTCTTACTATGGGTGCTCCTGGAAACTTGAACAGATTAGCATATAGCTTAATGAAACTGCCTTGTACAATTTTATTTGTTCTCTTGCGGAGAACCTTGGATCGCTGCATGGATTAAGAACCCTCATCTGCTTCATTGTTTAAAACTGGTGCTGCCAGGCAGCTACCAAGAGAAGGGGGCACACCTGTCAGTAGCACTTGTATACAAGGCCCTTGAAGAAGGTGGGAAGGCAGGAGTCCTTGGAAAGATGAAACCACTGCCACAATGCACGCGATTATTGCCATTCTCACACTCCTGTCATTCTTCCCAAATACGCCCAGTTTGGCGGAAGGCCGTGTTTTTTGCCTCCCTGAACAGCCCGCCTAGACATGCTGGGGTCCAGACAGGAAAGCTGGGTGGCGGGCATGATGTTCTGTGTTTGACTTTACACCTGCAGCTATGCAAACCAGGCAGATAGGAGAGCCCGGCCACCTCTACTTTATCCACACAACCCCCAAGCTCAGTCCAGGGCAAATCCACAGAATGACGGTTTAGGGACAACAACTAGAGTTCATTTTCCCATTGCCAGTGAGAGAAATAGTACCTTTTTAAAACCATAAAAGCTTTTTTCTTGGTTTTAATGTTAAGGACCACTCCACCCTTCCCCCCTGCAGGGCTGTGCATCTTGATCGGGGTGTCCATCTACACGCACCACTATGCCGATGGTTCCGGAACCTTGTACCCGTCCAGCCACCATGGCTACTGCTTCATCCTGAGCTGGATCTGCTTCTGCTTCAGCTTCATCATCGGCGTTCTCTACCTGGTCCTGAGGAAGAAATAGTGCTGAACACGTTTAGGGGATCTGGGGGGTGGGGAGGAGGAAGTGGTCGAATCGGGAGGGAGGTGGAAGTTGCTGTGCAGGAAAAGCCAAGAGAGGGGAGGGTGCGGGGAGGGGGAAGGAAGGGTGGAAAAGGCCAAAACCCAAACCATTGCTGAGGAGATTCTCTGCTGTCAAGGCCCTGCCCTTGGGAGGAAGCTGGTGGCTAGTTTTTTGATGCTACCTTGATGCAGACCAGAGAGCCTCCCTCAGCCACAGCCATGGCCCCAGCCGTTCTCAGTTACACCCACTGCATGGGGCCCCACCAGCTGCCACACCATGGGCTCCAATTCTGAGGGCAAATTCTGGGTCACGCACTGAGGCCCACAGACCTAGTGCACCAGGTTAAAGTAGTGGTACAAGCTCCGGCAGGAGCAGATACTGTCTTTGTGATGAATGTGCGGAGCCTGGAAGCTACCTCGCCCTCTGGCCCAAAGCAAAACATCTCATTCCAGTCTGCAGTGCCTACAGGAGGGCTTTGGCCGGCCAGCCACTGCCCCTCTTCAAAACCTATTTAGCTCAGTGGAATTCAGTGGCATTTGTGACAAAATGGGAGAAAGAGAGATAGTTTATAAGGCCAAGTTGGGGGGTTAGCTGAACCAAGAGAGAGAACTTTTCACAATGGAAGGCCTGGGGATGGTGAGACCTCACACGCTGTCCTGCACGGAGACCTCTTGTCATGGACTTTGCTAGGCCTCTCGCTTAAAGCCAACGCAGCTCTTCTGAAGTTTCTCTAAAGCCACTCGCTCATGAGCAACTCAGTGGTGAAAGCAGCACACAGACTGGGATCAGGGGGCAGTCTTGCAACAATGCTATATTAGGGTTATGTCTTTAGGATCCTCCTCCATACAGTCAATGTTTCTTTTAAGTATATAATGGGAGAGAGATGGACGTGGTTCTCCTTAGCACAATCCTATTACGCTTCCTCTAACCTGTAAACTTTTGAGGAAGTCTAATTATCCATACTGGGGGTCAGGGCTTCTAGGCTCAGTGGTAGCGCTAGCTTTGACACTGGCTGGAGTGGTCACCTCTCCGAAGCCCTGCCTATTCTACTTCCCAGGCAAGGCATGGCAGCTCTGGAAGCTAATTAAAACACACATAAACCAGAACCAAGCATCAGGTCCTTGGCTGAAAGGTGCTATAATTTGAAACATTAAGCATACTGTATTTTAGCCATGATAAGAACAAAGTGCCTGCGCTCCCAGGGAAATAAGAGAGTCCATGAGATAAATAAAAATGTAGGCAATGGCAGATATTTTCTTTTAAAAAAAAGCAAAAACTCTTGTGGTACCTAGTCAGATGGTAGGTGAGCTGTCCGCTGCCGCAGGAGCATTTCTATATAGGACCTAGAGGTAGTATGTTATTCCTGGTTAAGCAGGCATCGCTCTGCTCTGGAGCAGCTATTTCAAGCCATCTCAGATTCTGCCTAAAGGGCTTTTTTTTTTTTTGGAGAGAAAAACAACTTTCCTTTATCACCCTGAGAAGAACTATCCCAGGGAGAATCTGAGACATCTTGCCCACTTTCCTTCTTCTTGCTTTT